GGGATTTAGCTCAGTGGTTCCACCGCCTGCCTCACAAGTCCAAGGCCCCAAGTTCAATCCCCGGTACCAAAAAAAAAAAAAAAAAAAAAAAGGTCCATACTGGGGCCAGGGATTTAGCTCAGTGGTTCGGGTGCTTGCCTTGCAAATGCAAGGTCCCGAGTTCGATCCCTGGTACCCCAAAGAAAAAAAAAATCCCTTGCATGTACCGGTCAGGCAGAATCCCTGCCAGTTCCCAAACACCCTGTCTGGTAGCTGTCTACCTGCTGTACTCTTGCTGTGCCCTGTGGCTGGAATGTACACCGGCACTCAAGCCTCAGCTTAGGCACTGTACCTGCTTCACAGGCCTGTGGGTTCCCCAACTGCACTGGTGCTCTGCTTCACACATTGAAAGGTATTTACTTTTTTTTTTGGTACCGGGGATCGGACTCGGGTCCTTGTACTTGGCACAGGAAAGGTATTAACTTTTACTTGAATATGTATCCTGGCTAGACTGAGGGCAGTGTGAGGAATGGCTCAGGTATTACTGATCTGTGCATTCCACAGGTCTGGTACACTGGAAGTGCACAGTAACTGTTGCACAGATAATGTAATCACAAATGTTTCTTTTCCTTAAAGCAAAAACTTTGGTGATATTAACTTTGTTTCTAACCACTATGAAGAGAGTAGGGCTTCTGTTATATACATGCACCGACTCCTCTTGGTGAATGTAATCGTAAGGTACTGCAAACATGTACTAATAAAAAAAAAAATAGTGCTTCTTTGCAAAAGCAGAATCAACAAGCTGATCCTAAAACTCATGGAAATTCAAGGAATCTGGAATATTCAACACACTCTTGGAAAAAAAGAACCAAGTTAGAGGACTCACATTTCCAGATTTCAAAACTCACTACAAAGGCACAGTAATCGAGAGTGTGGGATGAGCATAAGGACAGACAGAGCTCCATGGGACAGAAATAAACCACACTTCTACAGTCAAGCGATTTTCAAAGGGCGTTAAGACCATTCAATGGGGAAAAATAGTCTTTTCAAAGAAAGATGCTGAGAAAGTGTATGGCTACAAGTAAAAGAGTGAAACTGGACCCCATCCTCGCACCATACACAAAAATTAACAAAATGGATCTTAAATGTAAAACTAAAATTCTAAGAGAAAGTACAGAGTAAATCTTGGTAACCTTGGGTTATGAAAAGTCCCCTTAGATATGACACTAAAAGCACAAGCAATATTAGACAAAAATAGATAAACTAGATTCATCAGTATTCAAAACTTTTATGCCTGAAAGAATACCATCAACAAAGTGAAAGGACAACTCACAAAAGGGGAGAAAAGATTTTCAAAGTATAAATCAGGTAAGAGATTTGCATCTAGAAAATATAAAGGTCTCTCACAACTCAATGATTAAAACACAGTACTAGGTATGACGGTGTACACACGTAATCCCCACTACACAGTGGGACACTCTGGGAGGCTGAGGCAGGAAAACTGAAAGTCTAAGCCCAGCCTGGGCCACTTAGTTATTTAGCAAGACCTTATCTCAATAAACATAATTCGATCCCTGATACCAAAAAATAAATAAATAAAATAAATAAAAAGGGCTGGGGAAGTAGTTCAACGTGAAGACCCTGGATTCAACCTCCAGTACTGCAAAATAAACAAAATACTAAAAAGTGGAAGCAACCCAAATGTCAAATAATGAACAAGTAAATAAAAATGTGGAATATTCATACAACAAATGTTATTCGGCAATAAAAAAAATGAAATGCTGATATACGCATGAACCTTTGAAAACAAGCCAGGCACAATAAATAGCACATGCCTATTGACCCAGTTCCTCGGGAGGCTGAAACAAGAGGATGCCAAGTTCAAGGCCAGTCTGGGCAGCTTAGCAAGACCTTGAATCCAAATAGAAAGGGCTGGGCAAGTAGTTCAGTGACAGAGCATTTCCCGAGCATAGGTTCAATCCCCAACACCATTAAAAAACGAACAAAAAAGGTACCATTTAATTAAACAGAACATATTTCTCTGATAATCCTGAGGAAAAAGAAGGCACCTCTGAGAGGAGATGGCTTGTAGGGATGAGAAAGAAGCCACAGTCAAACCCAGCCCATCTCATCAAACTGCCAAGGAGATGAGCAAAGACCCTCGGAGCTGGGCGGGACAGGGAAGGAGAGAACACAGAGAACCCCTGCTGTGGGCACCTTCGCTGAAAACACCTAGCTCTTACTGTAGCACAAGTGAGGCCCACACAGGGATGTGCCCAAGCTGCTGACCAGGGGGTGAGGTCTGAGGCAGAGCTCAGCCCAGGGGTTCTGATGTGGACTCCCAGACTTTTCAGGTCTCACCTTGCAACCCCATTTGATTACCTGGGATCTTGGCTTGGAATGTTTTAGTCTTGTTCCTGTCTGGACCATTTTCAAGTTTCAAGGTGGTCAGCAAGCCCACGACGTGAGACCCCTGCGACTTCCCCATGACTGCCCCATTCACAGGGCAGAAGTTCAGCTGGCCAGCAGACCTGAAGAAGGAGACCCAGTCCTATGTGCAAGAGGGTGCAAGGTGAGAGGTGATGAGCGTCAGAGGCAGGTCGCTCGGGAAGGCCGAGTGGGACCGCACTTACCTGGGGGATGTCGGGACTTCGAAGGGCAGGCCTGTGGGTGATGAGGAAGCCGCCAAGGCCCAGGCCCGAGAGGCCGAGGAGCACCAGGATCAGAGTGGCACAGAGCAGGGGTGGGTGGTGGGCCAGGCGGAGATGCAGGTTGTGCCCCGCCTGGCAGCTGCCCATGGGGAGCGGTGGGGCCTGGCCTCCCTAGACAGCCTGCTGGAAGACAGTAAGGGAGACCTGGATGAGAGCCTGCTGGTCAGAAGGCTGTCGCCCATGTCACGCCAAGAGGCCCGCACGGCCTGTTAGTGGCCGAGCCCAGAGGAGATGGCGAGGTTCTCGGTTTCCAAAGTTCATCTCCCTGCACCGCTCGGTAACCCAGGGGGAAGCAGAGCATTCTGTGTTAGAACAAGGAACCCGAAAGGAATAATTCTCAGCCTACAAAGAGGAAGCAGCGCTGCAGCCCAGACAAAGGAAGTGTCAGTAGGACTCCACTTTGGAACTAAAACGAGGTCTGAGCACCTTGTTACTCAGCCTTGTGAGACCCAGTCAGTTAACTGCTGTGGCTCAGGCATCTGTGACTCGGGAGTTCTAAGAACTACTCGGGAGGACTCGGCCACGCAGGAACACAACAGATGTCATTTCCTTTCTCTTGCTGACACTGAGTCCCGAAACCAGGAGAGAAAACCCCTGTGGGGAACTGGAGCTCAGGGGCCTAACGCGGGAGTGGTCTAGGAGCGGTCTGAAGGCCTCGCGCTTCCGAGGGGCGCGCTCGTCCCACGCAGGCGTCGACGGCCAGGGCAGAGAGCACCTGGAAGGCGAGGGCTGGAAGCGGGGCAGGGCGGGGAGCAGGGTTGCGGGGCGCAGGGGTCCCGCACGCTCAGCGCTTGCCCGGCCTCTGAGAGGAAGACGCGGGGGCCGGAAGGCGAGCGGGGGTCACGGTGGGCGGTGCCCTGGGTCCTCGCCCCTCCCGAAATGCCCTCCGGAAGGACCGCGACGCGGCAACCCTTCCCGATCAGAAGGCGCCTAGCCGGCCGAAGCTCTCACCCGCTCGGAGCCGGCGGGGCCCCCCCCCCGCCACGTCACGCACGCGGCCGTGAAGGGCGGGGTCCTGCCCCCGCGCGCCTGCGCATGCGCACAGAGCCTGAGGGCGCGCCGCCCAGGGCGTACCCAGGAAATAACCAGGAAGGCGGCCGGGGCTGGCCTAGGAGGCTTGGCGGGACTCTCAAACCTCTCTCCCTGGATCGACCGCGGGGCGGGGCGCAGGCCTTTCCCCGTGCCTCGCCCCCAGCCAGGCCCAGGCTCCGGGGAAGGACTCGGTCGCAAGTGGGCGCCCGCTTTAGGACTCCGCTCTTCTCTGCCCCCCCCCCCCCGCCAGAATGTTTACTGTCTGCTTCATGCATGGCCCCTGGCTCTCAGCAGTTCCTTAGTACATAGCCTGGGGCTGCAAGGATGCTCTGCAGAGACCCTGATTTCACCTCTGCCCACCTGTTAGAGATGGGAAGATCTTATCTGAAATACCAGGACGTACGGGCCCGGGGCTCTGGTTTCAAATCCTGACCGTCTGTGCCCTGCAGAGTCATAGCCGTACTCTCCTGCCAAGTAGGACTAGCTCTCTGGGGAGCTCAGGAGGAAACGCGGGAAACACGAGCCCAGCGCCCACTGAGCACCGGCGACCCTGAACGCACACTGTTCCAAACGGAATCTGAGCATTCAACTCCACTGTAGCTTCCGTGAGGCAGAGAACGTCATTTTGGTACCGCCACCTGCAAAAGTTTGTGGCACAAACCTTGCCCCCCCTACTCACATGACTTTTGCCAAGGATGGCATGACTACTTAATGGCAAAAAGGACTTTTTTTTTTCCTTTTTCTGTGCACCATTATAACAGCGCAAAAAGGCAACCCACAGAATGGGAGGGAATATTTGAAAATCAAGTATCTGACGAAGTAAATATAGTGAATATACAATGAACTCAACAACAAAACATAAGCTATCTAATTCAAAAGTAGGCAAAGTACTTGAATGGACATTTCTCCCAAAAAGATATTCAGCGACCAACAAGCACATGAAAAGATGACCAACAGTACTTGTCACTGGGGAAATACAAATCAAAATGAAAATGAGAGTCCATCTCATACTTATTAGGATGGCTATGATAAGAACAGAAATAAGTGTTGGTGAATGAATAAATTGGAAGACTTACAGGCTTTTGGGGGTAATGTAAAATAATGCAGTTGCTATAGGAAACAGTACAGTTCCTAAAAACAGTTAAATATAGAAATACATATGATCCATTAATTTCACTTTTGAGTATATACCCAAGAGAATTAAAAGGGTGTCAAAGAGAGATTTCCATATCTATATCCATAGCAGCATAATTCACAAGTGGCAAAGGGAGTCAGGTATAGTGGTGCACACCTGTAATCTAGCATTCGGGAAGCTGAGGCAGGAGAATGGCTGCAAGTTCAAGCCCAGCCTGAATGATCTAGTGAGACCCTGTCTCAAAAAACAACAAAAACCAAACAAAAAACACGTGGCAAAGGTAAAAGCCACCCAAGTGTCCACTGACAGATCCATTTTTTGGTTGTTTTATTGGGGGGGGGTACTGGGAATCCAACTTAGGACCCAAATTCAGGACCTTACACTTTTGAGGCAGGCAGTGGAACCACTGAGCTAAATCCCTGGCCCTTGTTTTTGTTTTTGAGATAGGGTCTCACTATGTAGATCAGGCTGGCCTTGAACTCACTATGGAGCCCAGGCTGGCTTCGAACTCACAGCAATCTTCCTGCCTCATCCTCCCAGTGCTGGGATTATAGTCATGTGCAACTACACCCAGCTAGAATTTCCTTTCTTTTTAAAGGTTGAATAATATTTCATTATATGTTGTATATACTACATTTTGTTTAAAACATTTATCTAGCCAGGTGTGGCCAGTGAGTTCGAGGCCAGCCTGGGCTATAAAGTAAGTTCAAGCCCAGCCTGAACTATGTAACAACACCCTGTCTCAAAAAAAATGTTGTGCCCAGATCGAAAAGTCCCTAAAGACCACCAAGGAGCCGTTTCCGATGTAAACACATGAGGGTCGTTTATTCAAGCTCGAGCAGGGGCACTCAACCGTCACCGGAGCAGCAGATCAGGATTGAGAGGCCCGAATTCCAAATCAGCAGGGTTTTTATTGTGGCTACCGCAAGGTTTGGGGATGTTCCATTTAGCAGTTACATGATTGGTTGATATTTAGCAAGCATGGGGGGTTGAGGGGTGGCTACATGTAGAGTTTATGGAGAAAGGAACAATCAGCACATTGACAGAATGTTCTATAGATAATGGGCCCGGGAGCATCTGTTTTCTGGGCAGACAGAGGATTGAGTTAGGAGCTGTGTCTCTTTTTTTCTCTGTTGTCCCACAGCAAGGACATTTTATCATTAGTTTATGGGCACAAAGGAGACTAGGGGAATAGTTGACTTCAGTGAAGTGGAATTTATGTCAAGCCCACTTTACTGTCTTACATTTAAGATGGAGTCAAACTTTAAAATGGAGTTAGTTAGGTCTCACACAATAAATGGTGGTGAGACAACTGGACAACTGTACAGAAAATCAGTCTGAAAATGTATGTTTTATGTATATATTATATATATATATATATATATATAACTCATACAACAATAAAAAAAAGCACATTATGAAAAGGAAAAAAAAATGAAAAAATAAAAATAGTTTCAGAGGGGCCGGGCATTTAGCCCAGTGGCACTGCACCTCCCTCAAAAGGGCAAGATCACAAGTTTGATCCCCGGTACCAATAAATAAATTAAAAATAAAAATAGTTTCAGGATAGGCATGATGGTGCATGTGTTTAATCCCAGCTACGTGGGAGGCTGAGCTGGTAGGAACAAGAGTTTGAGGCCAATCAGGTGACAAAATGAGACCCTCAAGAAAAAAAATTTTAACAGGCAAGTTCCTCTAAGAACTTCACCAACTTTCAGTCTTTCTCTTTTTTTTTTCCAGTCTCTTTTTAAAGTTGGGAACACATCTGCGTAAACATTTGTGAAAGTTAGGTTAAAACCCAAAACAAAGTGGGCTGGCCTGTAATCCCAGCACTCTAGGAGGCTGAGGCAGGAAGATTACACATTTGAGCCCACCCTGGACAATTTAGTGACTTAGTGAGACCCTGTTTCAAACAAAAACAAAAACAAAAAACCAGAGCAACAATGAAAACCCAAAACCAAGTTTATCCAGTCAATAATTTTTTAATGCCTGCTATGATGCAGATACAAAATTACTATGAATGTACCAAATCCTATGTCAGTGGTTCTACTTAAGTCCATGTCTAATTTCTAGGGCAAGATAAGGCATGAAAGCACCTAGCATAGTGCTGCTACATATCAAGAGGCCAACAAATGTGAACACTCCCTCATTCTTCTTTTTTTTTTTTGGTACCAGGGATCGAACTCGGGTCCTTGCGCTTGGGCAGCAGGCGGTGAAACCACTGAGCTAAATCTCTGGCCCCTCCTTCATTATTCTTGCTTGCCAGTGTAGTTATGCATATCTGGATAGCAATTCTCATAAACGACCCCGCTGCCATTTACTTACTTGGCTAAACCAAGCAATTCCATGAACCAGTAGAGGCAAACCAGTTAGGTCAAGGAACTGCCTGGAGTACTGAGGATCAGGGTAAATATATGTGAACAAATGTCTTACAGAGAAAAAAGAAAAAGTGTGTGAGGGGGAACAGAGAGCATAAAGTTAATTGTGCACTTTAGCACTCCAACAGACGCTGACATTTTCAAAATAACCCATGTGGTGGCCCTCAAAGCGCAGGTTGCTGTGGAAACGGCTCCTTAGCCTAAAAAAATCTAACCAAGGTCACACGGATAGTAGGTGGCAGATTCGAGTAGGTTAGGATTCGAGCCTGATGCAGCCCAAAATCAGAGAGAAAATCAAAGAAAATCAGGAAAAATCAAAAAGCCTGAAAGAAATGCAGGGAAGATTCCTTGGTCCTTCCATGGTAGTAAATTCCTCTTGGAGCTTTGGCCCAGATAAAGCTTCTCCTGAAGGTCTGTTTGATTGTCTCCTTCCAGAGTACTGAGTCAAACTGTTTTGGGCTTACAGACCCCTGTGAGAGTCTGATGAAAGCTTTTCATTCAGTCAGTCAATTGTTCATTCAATAAACATCTGTTGGTTGCCAGGCTGTATTCAGTGGACAAACTATTCATGATCCTTGTCCTCCTAGAACTAGAATCTGACTATGGACTCTCACTGGAAAAATGCAAGTTCAGCTGGCTATGTAGCACATGCCTGTAATCCCAGATACTTAAATGGGAAGCAGAGGCAGGAGGATCATGAGTTTGAGGCCAGCCTGAACAATTTAGTGAGACCCTATCGCAAAATAAAAAGGGCTGAGAATGTAGCTCAGTGGTAGAATACTTGTTGACAATGCATGAGGTCCTACATAATGAGTTCAAGGCTAGTCTGGACTACATGGTGGTACCGTGTCTCAAAAAAATAAGAGTAATGGGGATTTAGCTCAGTGGCACCGTGCCTGCCTCACAAGCACAAGGTCCTGAGTTCAATCCCTGGTAACGAAAAAAAAAAATCAAATAAGGATCAAAATGAATAATAGATATTGGGAAACAGAAAGAAAATGTTGAAATGGGAAGTGGAACAAGGGAGGAAGGAGGGGGAAGGGAAAAGAATAGAAAAAAATGGAAACAAAGCTTTTGTAAATAAGGAGGGGAAGATGGATTGAAGGGACGGGAGGGAAATTGGGTAAAAAGAAGAATCAAGATATATCATGTACAGGTACAGATTCCCAATGATGAATGTGATCATTATATATATCAAAAGTGTACCAATAAAATTAATTTAAAAGATCAATCAATCAATGAAAGACACGAGACACACAGAAAACAAATAATAAAATGGCTGAAGTAAATCCTTTCTTACAATAATTACTTTAAATGTAAGTGGATTAAATCCTCAAATTAAAAGGCAGAGATTAGCAAAATGGCTAAGAAGAGAAAACATGATTCATCAATATTCTGCT